ACTGGGTGGGAATAGCACAGAATGCATTTATACTTATGATAAAAGGAAGGGGTTCCTGACTCAATACTGAAACTTCGGAACGTACATATTTTGGCATAAAGAGTAGGTTTTGTTGTTGCTGTTGCTTTAGGGGAAAAAGATTCCTTACTAATCAGCAATACCTTAGTGTGATTATTAAAAATATGGTGTGTTATTATGGCCTAAACAATTAATGCCTGGATATACACCCCCCTACCCTGTACATATCCCTTCCCACAAACTCATACAAATATGTTCATCTTGAAAATCATCTTGAAAATTTATTTAGCTTATGACTACTTAAATAGTCCCCACAATGCCCTTCTTTCTTTCTGTTCTGGAAGCCCCCTCCTCTGTGTTCCCATAGCACATGTGTCCAAATCAGCACAATGAATACGCTATAAGCAACTGAGAAAAGTGGTCTCATTAGTCTTTGCATTCCCACACCTTATCTCGACTGGCAAAAAGTCAACTTTTTCCAGCTCTTCACTCTTCATATGATGGCATATGTTATGCCTTCTAAATACTGATTATGCTTCAGAGAAGACCACTCTGAATAGCAGGAGAAGAATGTATTAATCAAGTATTTCTGTTACCCTGAAGTTAACTGTATGTCTATAGATTTGGTCATAAAATTAATCATTTCCTGATATTATAATACAAAAGAGAAAGTCAGAGAGGTCCTTTAAAAGACTTGCCATTAGAACTTTTTTTTTTACTGTTATTGGGGAAGACCCAATATAGTGCAATGGGTAAAATAATACAAAGATACAAATGTAGTAGAAAATAGCAGGCGGCTCTCTTTTGAGTGTATGCATATAAAATATTTATATATAAGTAAATTTTATATATTAGAGGACAGAGCTTACATTTTTAATCTGACAGAATGAAAGAAAGCTTGAGACATTTCATCCAAACCTGCCTCCTGTACAGTAAGTATAGTTAATACATAACTGAAATGTCTGCTGAAAACCTCAGGGCAACTGAAATGAGCCTTAAATTACCTCCCTATAACCACCTAGTCCTTCTCCCCATCTCCCCCTTTCCAAATCACAAAAATGACATCTCTAACCTCCACAATGTGTCAGATATAGCAATAATCAAATAGAATATAGGCAGAATAAAAGTTTGTAATAAAAAGCCAGTTTCGTGTTCACAGATTGACTGAGCTGCTGCTGGAGAAGGTGCCTTGACTAAACCTCATAGAGCCTCATTTTTTGGCACATCTTTGACCAGTTAGGCGGTCCCAGATTCTGCCCATACTCGGCAATTCCTCATTCCTCCTAGGGAATTGTTCTGCCTCTTCTACAGCTCCTCCTCCACCAATTAAGGGGTCTGACACTGCCCATTGACCACGTTTATTTTTCTGCCTTTTGGCACCAGGAGCTTGTCTTTTGTAGGATATAAGTGGAATTCTCTGCTGTCTGCAGGGCTTTCCCCAGGGAACAGAGCATGAAACCCAAACTTATATATAAAATCATATCCTGTTTGCAAACATCATATTCCCTTTGCTTCTCACTAATCTGGTCCTGTAAACCCCAGCACAGCTGGAGAGCCCATTCCTCATCTAAACAAATGCCATAAGCTCCTTTATACTTTTACAACCATGTCAAAAAATAATATTGCCTGCCAATAGTGATGTGATTGGAGTTGCCTCCTCCGAGCCATAAAAGAAGTGCAGAGTCTGTTATCAATTTCTCTAAGTGTATCAAGGGAATTATGGGTCGATTCAGTTCCAAGTTATAAATGACAACTCAAAAGCCGCAGAAGCGTTTGAAGCTGGGAGCTGATGACGACATTATCATAAAAGCCTGCTCGTCCTTGCTTTTGTGGGGGTTTTTTTGTGGCCTATCAAGTGAAGAGGGAAAAGTAAAGCTGAGAAATGATTTCAAGATTTCTTCACACAGCAGCAGGTCAGATGGCCAGAAAAATGATCACTATTTTTAGTGATAGACCCTTAGGAATGAGTACTAAAGTGGTCCTGCACAGGCTTTAATGTCCAGAGTCCCTTAATTATCTATTTCATTAGATGATGACTAAGTCCTGGGATTTGGTAAAATGCTCTCTGCAACTGATGCATTTTCTTGTACTGCAATCACACACTAATGAGAAGTGAGTCATACCATAGTAACTAACAAAATGAGAACCAAACACAAAGGAATTAGAAACGCTTGCAAATGTTGCTCAAAATGCAATTCTGGAAAACGTACTTTAAAGCACCTTAAATACCATTTGCCCATTGAGCAACTTAACCAACTAACTGGCAAATTATCACAGGCAAAGAGTACACTTATCATGATGAGCACTGGATAATGTTTAGAATTGCTGAATTACTGTATTTTACACCAAAAACTAATATAATATTATATGTTAACTATTATATGTTAAAAATTTTTTAAATCATCACATGGAATTTTAGGAGAAAATTTAGTAAGTAGGGATTTTCTGATTTCACAATGTCCCCGGTAGTCTTCCCAAAAGCCAGTGAATCCATCAGCTTTCAGTATGTATATAATTAAGCCATCCAGTAGCATGGTATAAATTCTAGGGACTAGAGTTTACTTATTGGGGAGCACTAAGTATTTTGGAATTTAAGCCAATCATGTGAACTGGAAGAGTGCCTTAGCACAAGAGCAATTTTAGTGTTTTCCAAGTTCTCTGAAGTACCCCATGTTGTGAAGCTGGACCACTCTCACTTCATACGGGCTCTCTTTGTATACTTAATACATCTAGGACTGTCCCCAAAGTAAAAATTTAGATGGTACAAATCTAGAGGATGTAGAGTTTCTCTGAGGACTTATATTAAACCCAAGATCTGAGGGGCTAAAAGGTTTCTGAATACCTAAGAACACAATTTGGTTTCTGGAAAGAAAAAAAAAAAAAAAGGTCAAATCAAACTCGTTCTCTAGGGTACCAACATGGACAACCTTGTGCATGCACATGCACGCATCACACATGTTCACACTCACTTGGACCTACATAAAACCACCAGAAGACCTTCAGAAGACTAAAAGATCAATCTGATAAACAGAAGTGCCTCTCTCCAGCACTCTCCAGAATTGAAGTCCAACCAATCCAGTCTTCCACCTTCTGCCTCTGCTTGCTGTAGCTAGATTTATATACTACCATTGCTGCCACCAAGGTTAAAGTCAGTGTTTGGGGACATTAGCAAGGACTTAATTTATGATACTGACTATGCTTTGTGTTGGACATACAGGGACAAAAGCAGTACTCACTCTTCATTCCTTGGGCACTTCAAAGAGTTCACTAGAGCAGTTCCAGCTGAAGAATAAGAAGTTACCTTGGTACAGGTTTAGAGCAGTTGAGTAACAGTACTTTGTGTTCAAAGACAATGTAGTACACGTACAATCCAAGTCAGACTTGGGAGATGGATCCTAAGGAGTTGTCCTCATTTCAGCTCTGGGTCATGAATTAAGTGTAAAGGAGTGGGAGTTTGATGACCATCACTCGTTTAAGAGCCATATCATGTCACCATCATGTATCCTCTAATTAGTTATTAGCTTTGTTTCATTCACAGGTAATCAGCCACTCTCTTAAAATGAGCACTTGGGATTTTAGAAAATAAGCACAAAAACCAGTGAAACTTATTTTAAAAGTCAGTTTATCCTCTGCTTTCACAAATGATTTTTCAAGTTCCTGGCTTCACAGTGGGTTTGCTAAAAATAAGGAAGGGTTTATGTAGGATGATGACTGTCTTGTGCTCAGGGTCAAAAAGTGAAGCTCACTGTTGAGCTGCCACAAAACGGACCATGCTATACCAGCCACATTGTTGCACTGCTAGGCTCTAGGGACTGTGGCCAGCCTGTTGAATATGAAAACCATGGAAGGACCTAAAGAACTCTTTTAGAACACCTACACATGGACATGCACATCAACTTCACACTTTTTAGCATTTTATCCTTTCCTGTGACTTCAGGAAAATGACATTAGTTCTCTGAGCCTTTAGTTTCTCATCTGCAAATTAGTATTAATAGTAAGAACTATTTTACAAAGCTCTTATGAACCTCAGTTGTATGTTAGCGAACTGTAAAATCCAAGCAGATATTGGTTGTTGTAGTTGCCATTCTTATTTCTAGAAAGGGCAGAATCATAGGTGAAGGATTAGAAAGATAATCCTTGTGAAGTCTAGAATCACTAAAATGATAGAATTAACTTAAAATATGTGGGATTTCCCTGTATAAAATTTAGTTATAGCAAAATATTGCCTAAAATATGATATACACAGTTCTTTCCCTTCAATGTCCAAGAAGCCTAATTGATTTAAGTTCCTCAGTGCTTGAAACCTGATCTAGAATTATGCGGTCCTAACATGACTTAACACTTAGTTCTACAGGATGACTTTGTTACTGCTAAGGGTTAACTTTAAACAGATTGCAGGTTAAAGGATGTGTTCTAATTATCCACAAAAATGTAGACATTTTTCTTCACATGTCATTGGATTCAAACAAATTTGTCTTTGAAATGTGGTATAAATATCCTGGGTCCAAAAAGGCTTTGTTAATTACTCAAGACAAAAATGGCCCTAGGGGTTCACAAACAAAATGTGCTACAATGCAAAGCACTTTGTGAAGGTAATGCTATTTTCATCAGGAATATAATGTACTTGCATATTCAGTGTGACTCTATTGAGAACAGAATTCTACTGCAAAACTGCTAAACCTTCTTGTGTTTCCCCAGCTACATAAGTCTAGCAAAGCTAGCTTTATGGCATGTGACCAGTGCAGTCACACAGAACCCTAGAATTAGAAGGGCCTAACAGTTGGACTAATTCACTGTGTCACCATCTTGGAATTCTTAATAAATTTTGAGCATGGGGATCGCATTTTTACTGGGAATTGAGCCCTACAAATTACTTAGCCAATCCTGAAGTCTAGGATAACTTTTATTGACACACAGCCTGAATAGATAAATCAAAAGAGATATTTTTGGCCATTTAAAACAGTAAACAAACTCACACTTACCCCAAGTCCACCACAAGGTAATGAGGAAAAAAACTTTTGAGAGGCATCACCTATACATTAAGAAGACATGTAAAAAATAAATCAATAGGGAATATAATTGTAATTTAAAAATTTTTAGTTTATTAACACATAATATCATGTCACATAATATTTATCACTTGATTTAGAAGAAAATTAATCAAATTTTATATAGGTACAAACTTAAAGCAAATGAATTATTACTATACATACAGTCTATTGCCCCACATGAACAAACATATACCTATGAAATTTGAGTCTCAAAAAAATTTTAGCTGCCCTACACATCACTTAATATATCACAACATCTTTTATATATATATATTTTACTTAAAATAACTCAGCCGGTCTCTCAGGATATCCCTCTAAAGTGATGTTTTGAGCTATAAGTTTTTGAAAAACACTGTCATTTTAAAAATGTTTTAAATATTAAAACATCTACTCAAATACACAGATTCTCAATTTCTACTTCAGATATAATTAAGACAAAGTATACTATAAGCCTCTTCAAAGTCCACATTTTTTAAACAAGTCAGGAAACACTATAATAAGGATAGCCATTTTGGGAAATCTATATAATGTAAATAGAAATACATCTTCTTTAAAATGTATACCAAGGTCTTGCTTGTGACTTTCTCTTAGAATTGGCATTTCATGGAATTTTTAATCATTTTGTTTACCTACATTTTCATTTTCTACGTATCTACATTTAATAGAGTAAACAAGAATATTCACTCCTAAACTTCCCTGCAAAGTAATTAAAGGAATAGGCAATGATAATTTCTACCTCAAATCATTTGTTGTACTGATGATCAACAAAATGAGAAATAATGAAAATTGAAAATAGGCTTGTGGCAGACTTCACATGACATGTCAGCAAAAGTCTAACTAGATTTTGTTTGTTGTCAAAGAAGAACATTTTTTTAAACATTTTTTTGTAAACAATAAATTGTTTGTGTTGATTTTTCAAATGTAATTGCTAATGGATGGGAAATGATAAAGAAAAATTAAAGTGCAAATGAAAAAATAAGACATCTCATTACATATAAAGCTAGGAAAAAAAGAAAAAAAATGAGAAATCAACAAAAATAATAAGGAAGCCATGGAAAAATTTTACAACTAGAATAATGAGATCAATAAAAAACACATTAAAAAAATTTATGGATAGCCTGGAGAAGGGCAAAATTTCCTTAAGAGGTTGTTGCTCATAACAATAGTTCTGTATTCCTGAATATTCTGCAAGGATGCATTAGTCACATGTGAAATTAAAATATATAATACTGTATATTTTAACCTTTGAACTCTGCATTCTACAGCCAGTGAAAAGGGATAAAGGTGATACTGCAATGTAATAAATTTAAAGTACTTTTTAAAAATCATTAAACTCTAAGAGAATAAAATAAATGATAAGCTGCTTAAGAATTTTTACTTAGTAATGTTTACAATACTATAAAACAGCCAAATAATCAATAATTTAAATTTTGTAATGTGTAAAAAAAATTTGAATTCACTGAATTGACTGGATTTATTTTTTAATAATGGTACATTGCCTTATCCATGGACTCAGATCTAGCTAGCTACAAGATAATCTTAACTGAAACAGTTATCCTGAATAACAGGAATATTAATGCAAAGGAAAACCCTACACCAGAAATGATTGGAGAAAATGTTTTTAAAGTGTCACCTTACAGGGCCTAGAGTAGTTGAAGAGATAAATGGTGCCCATTTTCAAATCTACTCATTTTATAAGCTATAGATATCTTTCAAGATACAAAGACTGATAGGTCTGGTCATAATGAACTTTTATTTAAATCCTTCCTCCCTAACTCCAGAATGTAACTATCAAAAACAGTAAAATCATTTTAACTCAGAAAATCACAAAACTACATGCACACTGACAGATACCAACCCCTCTCCCTCTGTGTTGGGAAGGACTAGGGGAGAAAGAAGGATATATGGGAGTGAAAGAAAGGGTTAAAGAGAGGGGAAATATCTCAGTGATTATAAATTTCTACATATTTGTACATAGCAACTTTAAACTGGTCTTTTAGATATAAGTACAAAGCCACAAAAATTCAAATTTCATAAAAAAGAAAAGATTAAAAAATAAAATTAAATAACAACAAATTTCATAAGGAACAAAAAAAGGAGGAAAAGTCAAACTTTTAAAAGAATTAGATTTTTTAAAAATGAGATTATTCACTTGGAATTTGAATTAGGGAAAACAGCTAAGTTTCTGGATTCACATGAGAAACTGAAGTGGTTCAGAGGTATTATCAAAGTTGAATTTAGGGGCACCTCCGTTCCTCAGTTATTTAAGCATCTGCCTTTAGTTTGGGTCATGATCCTATGGTCCTGAGATGGAGCCTTGCTCAGGCTTCCTACTCAATAGAAAGCCTGCATCTTTCCCTTCCTCTGCCCCTCTCCCCAGCTCCCGTGTGCACGTGCATGCATGCTTTCCCTCTCTCTCAAATAAATGAAATCTTACCGCCAAAAGTTGAATTTAGTGCTTAAAATAAGGATGTAACAGTGCGACATCCCTATTCATCTTTACTCATGTAGCCTGCACACAATATTGAAATTGCTGCACCGATCCCTGAGAGGTACCTATGGAACTCCTCATGTGTATCTAAAGCTAACTTAAATCACCAACTGTACAAATATTATCCACATTAAATACTAAAAACTAATGACATATATGGCCAATTTATTTAAATTAAAACTGTAAAAACTACCAAGATATGGAAGCAGCCCAAGTGTCCATCAACTAATGAATGGATAAAGATGTGGTATATATTAAGAATGAAATATTACCTAGCCATAAAAAAGAATGGAATCTTGCTATTTACAACTACATGGATGGAGCTAGAGAGTATAATGCTAAGTGAAATAAGTTAGTGATAGAAAAACAAATACCATATGATTTCATTCACATGTGGAATTTGAGAAAACGCCTGTGTGGCTCAGTCATTTAATCGTTGGACTCTTGATTTTGGCTCAGGTCATGATCTCAGGGTCCTGGGATTGAACTCTGAGTCAAGTTCCACTCTGGGCATGGAGCCTGACTAACTAAGATTCTCTCTCTCCCTCTCCGTCGGCCCCTCCCCTGCTCACTGGCTCTCACGTACATGCTTTCTTTCTCTCTCCCCCTCACTATTGCTCTCAAAAAAAAAAAAAAAAAAAAAAAAGCAAAGAGAAATAGAAACACACAGAGAGAGACAAAACAGACTCTTAACTACAGAAAACAAACTGATGGTTACCAGAGAAAGGGAGGGAGTGGATTAAACAGGTGATGGAGATTAAGGACTGCACTTGCTGTGCTAAGCACCTGGTGTTGTACAGACTGCTGAATCAATCACCATATCATACACCTGAAACTAATACTAACAGTGTATGTTAACTAGAATTAAAACAGAAACTTAAAAAAATGGGGATGGGTATAGTCCAATAAAACTTCATCAATGGACAGTGACAAAAAAATCCTGTTTAAAACTCAACAATTGATACTTGGTGTTTTCATGGCAAACATACATGAAAAAGACCTTTGTCCAGGTTCTAATTATATACTGGAATTCACTTTTAAATCATCACATTTAAAAATGATATATTTGTTGACTATTTTGAGAAAAGCAGTTTTGTTCAAAAGTGTCAAATTTCATTAAAATTTGTATCACCATGTTTCCTAAGTATAACAGTTTGGACTTGAAGTTTATTTCTTCATTTCTTCTATAGATACGTCCTTTCTCTCAAACACCTATGTGTAAGTTTACCCCAATTAAACCCAAAGTACCTACACCTATGCCTAGGTTGATTTATCATTTGAGACCATAGTTAGAATAAAAAATTAGGAAGATTTTTTACTATGTTAAAAAATTATCAAAATGGACATAGCTTCCTTTCTTTAACCACACGAGTATTTTTACCTTTTAAAACCATGAAAGTTAACGTTCAATTTACTTGATCTTTGTAGTAAACTAGATGGGATTATTAATTCATGTTAAAGTAAGCACACTTATTAAACAGTATCCAGAGCAAAAGAAGTGCTTTATGTAAAAGATTTGCATGTTCAAAGGCTGATTCCTTCAAAAGAAATTGGAAAAAAAACACAGATTATTTATGTTTGGACTGACTTGCCTTTACATTAACATGTAACTTTAATTCTACTATACAAATTACTTCTCATGATCAAATTTTAACATGTTTTCTAAAAATTGAGTATTCTCTGTTTCCATTTCTGTCAATTTCTCTCCAAGCTACCACTACCCATGCATACATGGTACATATGCTCACATACACTCACCCCTATGCCTTTACTTCATCAATTTAGGGATGCCTGTCACTTGTTTTAAGAAGGCAGAATGGAAGCATTATAATGGTTAACTTTTAATTTCACTTTATAACTGCTTTACAAGATGCCTGCCTACATATCATATACTTCCTTTTGTGGGTTGTTTTTTTGTTTTTTTTTTAAGATTATTTATTTATTTATTTATTTGAGAGAGACAGAGAGTGCGCGCATGTGCACATAAGCACTCAAATTCGGGAAGGGGCAGAGAGACACGGAGAGAATCTCAAGCAGACTCTATGCTGAGCGAGAAACCCGAAACGGGGACTTGATCATGACCTGAGATGAAACCAAGATTTGGATGCTTAACCAACTGAGCCACCCAGGTGCCCCCATATCCTTGTTTTTGAACTCTTTAGGGTCAGTTAACATAAACCATTTATAAATAGTACTGAATTAGGTGAAAGAGTCCAATATTTTGGATCTGATACAATAGGTTTATTTGAAAGAAAGGGACAAGAAAAAGTCCTAAAATGCCTTTTTAGTTAAAATACTTAAAACATGATCCTTGTAGCATACATTGTCATGTCATATATTATTATTTCATTATAAAAGATTAATGAATTTAATATAATTAGTATTAACTGTTCTGGCTAAAATTAGGTTTTGTCATAAACTTTTCTGACATCTGTTGTTTTATCACTCATGTAAGTTTATGTCTGAAACATAAATTTTATTTTAAAATCTGATGGTAAATGTATGAGGATTATATATTACTTAAAATTTATATTTATTAATTTCATACTTCGCCATCTACCTTACTATTTAATTCCATAGTTAAGGCATTCATTAAATAGATTATACCAAGATTTAAAATGCAAGATGCCTGGCTGGCTCAGTTGGAAGAACATGCAACTCTTGATCCTGGGATTGTGAGTTTGAGCCCTACATTAGGTATAGAGATTACTTAAAAAATAATAAATTTTTTAAAAAAATGCAATCTTAACTATAAAACACAGTGTTCTAGCAGAGTAATAAGGAGTTTTAACTTAAAGTAAGTTGGTACTATGACTTGAAAAAAACTGAAAGACACAAAAGAAATTGAAAAGGTGAAGATAAATTTGCATAAAAATGTGAAAACTTTTTTTTCTTGTTTAGAACGTAAGCATTTAGTTTAAAAATGTAAGCAAACAAACTCAACAATGCAGCCATTCCTGTAGGCTAAAACATAGTGAACAAATACTTTTCAAATAAAGGTTAATTTAAAAGTAAACATCATGGAACTTGCATTATCATTTTTTCTAATGCGAGATTTTCTTAATCTACACTGGCTTTTATTGTAAATGACTCATTCCACAGAGCTGTTGGAAAAGCTGATTTTTTTTGTCACACTGCTTGCCAAGTATTTTGAACTGACAACAGCATTGACTAATGATAGTGCTGGAATGTGCTGTTCTCAGTAGAATGGAGACCCATACAGACCTAGGAGTGTCCTGGGGTCCAGCTTCTGTCCATCCAGGGGGTTGGTGCCATACAACAGTGAGTGATGTTCAGAATGAACAAGCTGTATTTCCTCCAGGCTGGCTTTTCGACCTTGAATTCGCTGAAAGAAAACGGGAGAAGCCTACAGTACTCCACTGACAACATTTAGAAGAAAGTAAGACCTAAGTCACATTTAAGATGAGTAACAATGAACCAAATTTCATCATGCAGGAATGTGACACTGATTTGCTTAGTAAAGTACTATACTAACATTTGAAAAATGGAGTATATGTAAGGTTCAAATCCTATGGATTGCTTATGCCTAACTGAGTGACTGACATAAAGCACAGTCTTCTTTGGCATAAAAAATAAATCTATAACAAAAAATCAATAGTTAATTCCTTTGTAAAGTATCAGCTTAAAAACAAACAGCAGATTAAAAAAAAATGAAAAACAACAACGACAATAAAAAACAAGGGCTACTGTTTGGCTGAGAAGTAAATTCATTAAAATCTTATTTTCACTCATCTGTAGAAGTTGTTGAAATAAATTCTTTCTTATTTCTTAAAGAACATAAGTACCAATAGATTTTAATGTATTTGATTATCACCAAAATGCTGATCACTTCATGTGTGTGCACCTCACAGAGTTATTAATCTAGATCAGTGTTTCAAAGTGTGTCTTATGGGGTCAGTAACATTTCAAGAACTGTTCATGAACTGTCTGTGAAGAGGTCTATATAGAAATTCAGAGTAAATATTTAGAAACTTTTATAGTAATTAGACATACTATTTTTATGTCTATTGGATCTAACATAAATTTGTGTATCTTCAATTTTTATTTTATTTTTATAGTAATTTAATGTATTTTATAAAACCACTAGTGACAGAATAGAAATTTATCAAAAACAAAAACTGCTGTTTAGCCAGAGATAGTCCGACACACTCAAGACTCAGTCAATATTTTTATGCACATGCTAGGCAGAAACTTGCACTTCAACTAACAAAGCCTGGTCCTTCAATATAGACAAAAATGTACATTAAGTAAAACCTCAGTTAGTCAATATGCAAAGTATTCTTCCTGGCCACATTTCTCAGTTGGCATATCTACAAGCCCAATAAATATGCTGGGGATGCCTCTGTGGCTCAATCGTTTAAGCATCTGCCTTCGGCTCAGGTCATGATCCCAGGGTTCTGGGATCAAGTCCCACATTGGGCTCCTTGATCAGCAGGGAGCCTGCTTATCCTGCTGCCTGCCACTCCCCTTGCTTGTGCTCGCTTGTTCTCGCTTTCTTGTTCTGACAAATAAATAAATAAAAGCTTTAAAAAATAAAGAAAAATTTAAAAACATCATGCTGGCGTATGAAGTTAATCAGCCGTGCTTTTGAAAATTGCTGTGCTTTCTAAATTAGCCAGGCAGTATTAACATTTCACTTAAAATATGTATTACAACAAGGTACTTGTAATGTAATTCCTAGTATCTTATTAGTAGAGAACTACACTAAAATTCAAAGAGAATCCGCTCAGGGAATGTTGTCCTCTCGTGTTCCTGACAATGGAATCACCAGTTGACAAGGAAATATCAGGAGACAGCAACACCTCTCTCAGGACCAGGACAATTCCATACTCAACCTCCCTAATTTAAGGAGATGTGGTTGCTGTTGATGTTAAAGAGAATAGGCTGGAAAAATCTCAATATGCTAACACTTCCTAGGGGTTTACTGAGTAGAGGGCAGAGCTGTGCTTGTCGCAGAAAATAAATCATCATGTCACAGTGAGAGAGGACTGGTGGGAGACCGAAGGGGTAAAGAACAAGGCAGCGGGAATGATGTAAAACAGAAACTTCTTGACACTGTGCCAAATAAACAAATGTTTATGGAATTTTCTTTGTCATAGCACTGAAGTTCCCAGTTTTTGACACCCAATTTACACTCCTAGAAAAAAATTTTTAAATCCTTTAGAGAAATCATTTCTAGTTAGGTGTTGAATGATGAAATTAAACCAAAAGTAATGCAGAAGATGAAGGCAAATTTAATGATGGTCACTTGGTCAACCACTGCTCTGATCAATAAACAAAACATGTTATTGACATAGGTGGCTTGCTGGTAAACACCAAATTTAGAAGCATTTACGGAAGACCAGAACAAAGAAAGAGAAATGGCAAATAATGAGATAAAATAGGCAAGAGAAAGTTCAAAGAAATATTAAAGGTTAACATTTTAACTGTGAGATTTCAGCTGGTGGAAAATCCCCCAAGATAAACAGTGGTAACTCCATGGTCTGAGTCATCTAAACTTGGAATGAGCACAGCACTGGAAACCAGACTGTGGTAACCAGTCTTAGTCTGGCAGAATAATGAACAACATGAAATAACAGGGCTTCCAACTCTCCTTTCTGCGAGTCTATGAAACTGACAGCCACTAACATTTCACATGCTGATACCATGAAACATCTATATCTAAAACAATGTCAGTTCTATAGCTAACAATCAAACCCATGTTTTGACTACTACCAAAAAGTTCTGTCAATTTTTTTCCCATTCTCTTTTTCTAAAGATACTTTTTCAACTTTAAATTGAATTTTTGCCTCTGGCATAACATTAAATATCATTAATAATAAACATATCTTTATGTTTTCAGAGACTAGTCACATATATTTACATACCATACACTTCATGCTTGCCCCAACTCCTTTCTCATTCTCCCACAATCCCACTAGCATTTATGCTGAATGCTCAATCACACATTTCAAAAATAATCTGTTAACAAGATTTAATTATTGATGGTAGCCCAAATGCTGATAAATCATCAAAGGACACCTGCTGAATCTCAGTCATCCTCTTGTGTAATATCAGTTAACTGACAGTAAGGATAGGACATCTGGTGCAGACTATTTAGCACTGGCTTACTCAGAAAATACTCTGCTCTAGTTTACACTCTTGCCCTACCTTTCACTCTTAAAATGCAACACAGGGGGCGCCTGGGTGGCTCAGTGGGTTAAGCCTCTTCCTTTGGCTCAGGTCATGATCTCAGGGTCCTGGGATCGAGCCCCGCATTAGGCTCTCTGCTCAGCAGTGAGCCTGCTTCCTCCTCTCTCTGCCTGCCTCTCTGCCTAATTGTGATCTCTCATTCTTTCTCTGTCAAAAAAAAAAAAAAAAAAAAAGCAACACAGTTCCCAAGTTTGCACTTTGATTTCTTTGTGTCTCCCTTATGACTCCAAGAAGTATTTTATACTGTTTTTTTCATTATTATAGAAAAAATTTCTCAAAAATAATTACACCAAGTATAATATAGTACTTATTCTTGATAATCACCTCTCTTCAACAGATGCTAGACAACAAGCCCTACAAAGAGGATGTACATGTTTCTATAGAAAGGGAGCAGTAAAAACCAATTCAGTATGAAAAATGTTTCTACCTGGAGAAATGATCTGGAGAATGCATGTTTTGAGATTTATATCTCACAGGGGCATTGCTGTGGGAACCTGGTAGATGACTAAGCTGAAAATTCTGAAATAGCAACAGTTTTCCTTCCTAACACACAGGATTTCCTGGAGTAGTTCCATTTTGTGTCACTTTTATCAGATGTCTTAAATTTGTCACATTCAACTTTTCCTCTCAAATTGAGGTTCCCAACTGTTCTCTTTCTGGTATTATCATCAGCAATTTATTTTATGTTTATGCTTAAATATAGATATTTTCATTTAAGCCCTTCCCATATTTTCTATTTCCTGTGTAGCCTTTATTCTTTCATTCCCCTCTCATGATGCTCTCTTGAGTCAAAAGTCAACAGCATAATGAGTCACAAAATAGGATAAAGTGCTCTGATAATTGTAATTTAGGGAGATACTGATTTCCGTTCTCAGAGATACTTAGCATGCAGGATGTCTATCTAAAGTCATCTAAGATTCTGACCAAAAGGATTTTTGAGAATTCTGAGTATATTTGGACACTCAATGCATATAAGGGATGGCATTCTTCTGGGTCTTTCTTGCTTGAAATCCAAATATAGGTCTTAAACACCTTACCAATATAGGCTTAGGAAAGAAAACTTAAAGTTCTTCTTTCATTTTCCCAATAAAGAAGCCCTGTGATGTAGGATGTATTCACTATAATATTTTCATTCTCTGTGACTTGCATTCAAGCAGTTCTTCCCTGAGAGTAGTAAAGAAACTGATGTGCAGAGTACCTACTCTTAGTGCTAAGCACCGGGGTATATGATCTTATTTAGTTCAGAGCCCCAAAGAGTCTACATTCAGGTTGGAAGTTTGACTGAAGTTATGTAAAATGACCATATCATTGAGTCTCACAACACACCATGGTTCTTTCCGAAAGAAATAGTCTTTCTGAAATAAAGCCCGTTAATGCAACCTGATTATAAAAGGAATGTTCTGAACATGAGCTACAAAGTCATACTGTGACGGGATAAAATGCAGCCTACCCACCCCACCCACACACAGAGCACACACACGGCACACATTCATATTTTTTTTTCTGCCAAGGAGCAGGGGAAAAAGGAAACAGTTCTATTCCTTCCCCTCCTGTGTTCAAAGCCTGGATTGAGGCCAGTGTCCTAATCAGTTCTCATTGGCCCTGGAGGAATCAGAACCTTTTGTAAAATATAATAAAGGGCATAAAATCATGATAAAATGCATGAAAAAGCAGTGCCTTTGGTTAGGGAACTAGAAATAATTTAGCAGAACAGATGGATTGCATTGGTTTGGTATTATTGAGGACATGAAAGGGCTCATTTTGTGGCAGTTCCAAACTAAGAGAAAATGTCCAACTTAAATTTGACAAGTCAAAGTACCTGCCTCTGCTGGGGGAGACCCCATTTTCTTTAATCATTTTCAAAGTGGTGACATATTAGGCAACAATTTCCCCTGAAATATTTCATTTTCTGAAGATATTTCATCCAGTGTCCCTAAATATAGGGATGCTTATTTTTTTTTCTACAAAAATTCATCAGGTTGCAGACTTTGAAAGTTAAAGAATCATAAATGACATAGGACAGTCAAAGTTACCTTCTGTTACAAATTCCATACTTAATATTTAATGGATCAGTTCACGGCCTGTTCATTTTTCTTAATACATTTCTCTCTCTTAAATGAATTTAAAAATCTG